TGGTCGTAATGACCAGTTCTGGTGTGGTCTTCATTACCGGGTTTGGTCTTTCGAGGTCTCCCTGGTGTTGCCTCAGGTGTTGACCGTCTTACGATACTGGACTATAAGAGAGTGAAAGTGCCGGCCTCAGGCGTCAACCTATGAAGTATGTCCGGCCCGTCCAGAGTAAGGCGAGGTGGGGAGGGGTTGAGCGAGGCGGGGCGGGGCGGGGTGGTGTGAGGAGTGCTGTGGTGCAGAATGGAAGGGTGGAGCAGGGGTGGGGTACACTGGGGAACGAAGATGTTCACTGAAGGCTAATTGGTTTGGGAAATGGGTTTAAAGCCTCTTCAAAAAATTATTAAGGCTGAATATCACCTGTTTTATCACTTCCTTTTGGTTTAAAGCGAACTCTCCGCATATTACAGACTGAGAGATGCACAACTCTAGGTGTGTATATCTTCCCAGGGTGAGAGGGAATGTACAAGTAGGAGAGGTGAACATAAAGCGTCAAGGGAGAGGCTTCTAAATCATGGCTGACAACAAACAAAATTGTTCGGTAGATAATCATTAACAAATGTGAGGAGGAAGAGAGATGAGGGGAAAAGCTGAGAAAAAGGAAGAGGAAGGTAAGGGGACAAGAGGAATACGAGGAAGAGGAAGGAGAAGAAGAAGAAGAGGAGGAGGAGGAGGAAGTGTAGAAGAGGCGAAGATTTTTGTTTAAAGTCGGTTTCAAACTGAAATTATGAAGTAGAAAAAAAAAACAATCTCATTGCTGCGTGATCGAAAGTTTGGGTATAATTTGTAATGTGCACACACACACACACACACACACACACACACACACACACACACACACACACACACACACACACACACACACACACACACAGTGCTTAGAAGAGAAACTACAAAGCCTGAAACAGATTAGAGAGACAAATGACAATTCAGATGTGACATCAGGAAATTCAATGTCAGGCGCAGACAAGGGGACGGTAAGCAACAACGGAGACAAGCCGTACACGAAGGCCCTATCAGACCCACGTGGGGCCAGGGAAAAGACGAGGAGCACACTAAGATCAAATGACAGGTCCGAAGACAATGAAGGTATGTTATATGCAGAGATTCTAACAGCCAACTGCAGTAGCAAGGGACAGCTGGTCAGGAAAGACAGTTCACTGAGAATAGAAGTTTCAGATATGACAGGGACTGAAGGCAAGAACATGTCAATGGAAGGAAATAAAATGCCTCAGAGGAAGCAGATGGAGACTCAGTGGGAGGAGGAAAGGGCGAGGTCAGTTTTTGTGTACGGGCTCCAAGAAGCCAAGGGGGACAACTTTGAATAAAACAGGAGAAAAAAATGATTGAAGGCATCATGAAAACAATAGGTGAGGGCGATATAACCCAGGTGACAAATTTTCAGAGAATTGGGTGGTTTGCGAGTGGAAGGATACGGCCTGTCAGAGTAACTTTCAAGGAAGAATCAGTTCGAACCAGGATTCTGCAAGAGAAAGCAAGACTGAGGGACAAACAGGGGTACCAGAGAGTATACCTCGACCGCGACAGAACACAAGAAGAAAGGACTACACTGAAAGAGAGGGTACAGAGACGCAAGGAGGAACGAGAGGCAATGACGAAAATGAGCAGGACCCAGACACAGGAGGAAGGGCAAACACACCCCACAGAATCTCCCACCAAAAGACTCCAACCGCGACATTCCCAACGCAACTGAGCAACCTATACTACAACCCACTCACTGTTCCCTCTGCCACCAACCCCCATATCACAAACTCACCCCAACAGCTGTCCCTTATGGGCATTCTGACCCCACCCCCATCAACACAAACCCCACCTACACCACAGTCCCATATAGGCCCCCACCAAGGCTCTCGCGCCCCCAACCCCAATATTCTTGCATGACCACAATGATAGAAAAGAAACTGAAGGTTTGGTACACAAACGCGGATGGAATAACGAATAAACATGAGGAGTGGAACGAAAGAATCAGTGAAAAATCCCCAGACATCATAGCAGTCACAAAAACAAAACTCGCTGAGACAATAACAGACACAATCTTCCCAACAAGATATCAGATCCTGAGGAAAGATAGAAGGAGTAGAGGGGGAGGAGGGGTTGCACTGCTCATAAAACACCGATGGGGATTTGAGGAAATGGAAGGCATGGACATGATTGGAGAAAGAGACTACATTGTAGGTACAATTCAGTCCGGAGAACATAAAGTAGTCATTGGAGTGATGTATAACCCACCACAGAACTGCAGGAGGCCAAGAGAGGAGTACGAAGAAAACAACAGGGTGATGGTGGACACACTGGCTGAGGTGGCAAGAAGAGCTCACTCGAGCAGAGCAAAGTTACTGGTAATGGGCGATTTCAACCACAGGGAGATCGACTGGGAAAACCTGGAGCCACATGGGGGTCCCGAAACATGGAGAGCCAAGATGATGGATGTGGTACTTGAAAACCTCATGCATCAACATGTCAGGGACACAACCAGAGAGAGAGGGGAGGATGAGCCAGCAAGACTGGATCTTGTGTTCACCCTGAACAGTTCAGACATTGAGGACATCACTTACGAGAGGCCCCTTGGAGCTAGCGATCACGTGGTTCTGAGTTTTGATTATATAGTAGAGTTACAAGTGGAGAAGGTAACAGGAACTGAAGGGGACAGGCCAAACTATAAAAGGGGGACTACACAGGTATGAGAAACTTCCTGCAGGAGGTTCAGTGGGACAGAAAAATGGTAGGAAAATCAGTAAACGAGATGATGGAATATGTGGCAGCAAAGTGCAAGGAGGCAGAGGAAAGTTTTGTTCCCAAGGGAAACAGAAATAATAGGAAGACCAAAACGAGTCCTTGGTTTACCCGAAGGTGTAGGGAGGCAAAAACAAAGTGCAACAGAGAATGGAAAAGGTACAGGAGGCATAGGACCCAGGAAAACAAGGAGATTAGTAGAAGAGCCAGAAACGAGTATGCACAGATAAGGAGGGAGGCCCAGCGACAGTATGAAAACGACATAGCATCGAAAGTCAAATCTGACCCGAAACTGCTGTATAGCCACATTAGGAGGAAGACAACTGTCAAGGACTAGGTGATAAGGCTGAGGAAAGAAGGTGGAGAACTCACAAGAAACGATCAAGAGGTATGTGAGGAGCTCAACACGAGATTTAAGGAAGTATTTACAGTAGAGACAGGAAGGACTCTGGGGGGACAGACCAGATGGAGACACCAGCAAGGAATACACCAACAAGTGTTGGACGACATACATACAGATGAGGAGGAGGTGAAGAAACTGCTAAGGGACATCGATACCTCAAAGGCTATGGGACCGGACAACATCTCCCCGTGGGTCCTTAGAGAGGGAGCAGATATGTTGTGCGTGCCACTTACCACAATCTTCAACACGTCCCTGGAAACTGGGCAACTACCTGAGGTATGGAAGACGGCAAATGTAGTTCCCATTTTTAAAAAAGGAGACAGAAAAGAGGCACTAAACTATAGACCTGTGTCATTGATGTGTATAGTATGCAAAATTACGGAGAAGATTATCAGGAGGAGAGTGGTGGAGCACCTGGAACGGAACAAGAGTATAAATGCCAACCAGCACGGATTCACGGAAGGCAAATCCTGTGTCACAAACCTTCTGGGTTGATTGCATCTTCTTGGACTGCAAGAAGGCCTTTGACACAGTTCCTCACAAGAGATTAGTGCAGAAGCTAGAGCATCAGGCGCATATAACAGGAAGGGCACTGCAATGGATCAGAGAATACCTGACAGGGAGGCAACAACGAATCATGGTACGTAATGATGTATCACAGTGGGCACCTGTGACGAGCGGGGTCCCACAGGGGTCGGTCCTAGGACCAGTGCTAGTTTTGGTATATGTGAACGACATGATGGAAGGGTTAGACTCAGAAGTGTCCCTGTTTGCAGATGATGCGAAGTTAATGAGGAGAATTAAATCTGATGAGGACCAGGCAGGACTTCAAAGAGACCTGGACAGACTGGACAACTGGTCCAGCAAATGGCTTCTCGAATTTAATCCTGCCAAATGCAAAGTCATGAAGATAGGGGAAGGGCACAGAAGACCACAGACAGAGTATAGGCTAGGTGGCCAAAGACTGCAAACCTCACTCAAGGAGAAATATCTTGGGGTGAGTATAACACGAGCATGTCTCGGAAGCACACATCAATCAGATAACTGCTGCAGCATATGGGCGCCTGGCAAACCTGAGAACAGCATTCCGATACCTTAGTAAGGAATCGTTCAAGACACTGTACACCGTGTATGTCAGGCCCATACTGGAGTATGCAGCACCTGTTTGGAACCCGCACTTGATAAAGCACGTCAAGAAACTAGAGAAAGTACAAAGGTTTGCCACAAGGTTAGTTCCAGAGCTAAGGGGAATGTCCTATGAAGAAAGATTAAGGGAAATCGGCCTGACGACACTGGAGGACAGGAGGGTCAGGGGAGACATGATAACGACATATAAAATACTGCGTGGAATAGACAAGGTGGACAAAGACAGGATGTTCCAGGGAGGGGACACAGAAACAAGAGGCCACAATTGGAAGCTGAAGACACAAATGAGTCAGAGAGATATTAGGAAGTATTTCCTCAGTCATAGAGTTGTAAGGCAGTGGAATAGCCTAGAAAATGACGTAGTGGAGGCAGGAACCATACACAGTTTTAAGACGAGGTTTGATAAAGCTCATGGAGCGGGGAGAGAGAGGGCGGGGCCAGGAGCTAAGACTCGACCCCTGCAACCACAAATAGGTGAGTACAAATAGGTGAGTACACACACACACACACACACACACACACACACACACACACACACACACACCACACACACACACACACACACACACACACACACAGAACATGCAGCTGCTTCTCCCCAAAAAACTCTATCTCTCACAAACACTAAATATGAGCCTAGCATAATTACTCAAATTAAAAAATGGTATGTAAAAAAACATTGGATTCGAAACATGATACTCACGAGCATGTGTGAGGACTGCCAAGACGGCAGCCGCCACCAGGAAGAACCTCATCTGAAACAAACGAAAATTCTCTTAGATTAATCTGGTTACAATTATATATATATATATATATATATATATATATATATATTATATATATATATATATATATATATAATATATATATATATATAGTGTGTGTGTGTGTGATGTGGAGAAAGTAAAATACAGTGAGTTTTCAATTATAGTGGACCTGAGCTTGTCTTCCTGAAGTTTTAATTCAGCGCTCGACTACTTCCTTCAACAAATTTTCCTTCAAATCAAAGATCACATATAACTTTTTTATACAAATCGGTCATTATTATTATTATATTAGTATTATATTTATTATACTTGTATGGAATCTCTAAATCTGTAGGGGGTCATGCAGAACCTGGGAAATGAAAGGTAATAAGATCTGACCCACAGGAGACGAATACTTCAGTTAATTAGATGAAGGTTCGTCACCCAGGCTGATGACACTCCAGCATGGGTCGGTGTGTTCGCCAATAAATGCTGTAACACCTTAGCAACAGTGTCCCTTGACCCGCCTTCACCAAAAGCCGGTGACAAGAAATAAATATATGGACACCTTATACTGGTGATCTACTTTTTTTTTTTTGTACCTTCGAGGTTTTCGGTTATACTTGAGAACTCCTCACCCGAGTTACTTAAAGTATTTAGTAAAAGAGACTTCTGAATTATCAATAGCGGAGGGTCATTAACCCTGGATAACTCTCAAAAGACACGTTCTATCGTTTATGTTGGAATCATTGAGTTCTCTGGACTGACACACAGGTACCAACATACTGTTAGGTGAGCAGAGGCAGCAAGTGTCTGGAGACTTGCCAATAACGAATATCCTCGGCCACTGACAACTGTAACAGTGAATACAGACTCCAGGAATACAGGAGTTGGTAAATTACTTCAGTATCCCTTATTGCTGCTACGAAAACGAAGGAGATACGGGAGAGACAAGAGAGGTGACGAGGGAGAGAAAAAAAACGGAGATAAGAGAGAGAAGTTGAGGGAAAGGGACAGAGAGAGAGAGCAGGAGATAAGAAGAGAAGGCAAAGGAGAGAGTGACGTAAGAGAAAAGGGGATGAGGGAGAAAGAAAAAGCAAGAGGCAGGATAAAAGAACGAGGGAGAGAGTGAAGGAGATAATAGGGCAACGAAATGTTACAGCGGCAAGAAATGCAAGTACATAGAGCAGAGGTGAATAAAACTGAGAAAAAGGGATGATAATACAAATGGCAGAGGTGGCAGTAGAGCGGAAAAAGTTTGAGAGAGAGAGAGAGAGAGAGAGAGAGAGAGAGAGAGAGAGAGAGAGAGAGAGAGAGAGAGAGAAAGAGAGAGAAAGAGAAGGGTGATTATAAAGTCCCGTAACAGCGGCGGATGTTGTGGGTGTGTGTCAAGGTGGATGTGAACAAGTCCCTCAGGAACCCACACCCTCAAACCCTAACATTTACCCCCTCTCGCCCCTACCAAAATCTTTATACCCCTCCCCTACACCCCTACCCACATCAGGTTTCACGCTCCAGTACCTAGTATCAGCATACCTAACACTTCACTAGATACTTCCTAATTAATCATCTTCCTGTTTGGGTGAGACTCCAAGGATCTTCATCCAAGGAAGTGTAACTATAATCAACTTCCTTGGATCAAACCTGACTACCTAACATTCTCCAAGCGCTGCATTACTCATTAATAATAATAATAATAATAATAATAATAATAATAATAATAATAATAATAATAATTTTCTTGGTAACACTGTAATACAGTTGCCACAGGGAGAGTAGAAGGTTGTGGCGCTCCTGTGGCAATATTGGCAACACTATCTCTATATCTCCCAGCTTGATAAATATCAGTTATCTCATTTATCTAGTAACAATTCTCTTAGGTCTGGTTATACTGCTCACGTCGAAGGTTATATCACTCGAGGGAACATTGGCAACAGTGACCAACACCAGTGAAGGTTATATCACTCCTGGGAACATTGGCAACAGTGACGAGGCCCAGTAAAAGGTATATCATTCCTGGGAATATTGGCAACAGTGACCAGCACTAGGGTATATCACTGTTGGGAACATTGGCAACGGTATGTGTGTGTGTGTGTGTGTGTGTGTGTGTGTGTGTGTGTGTGTGTGTGTGTGTGTGTGTGTGTGTGTGTGTGTGTGTGTTCCACAGAAACATACATAAAGCATAATTTGAATCTTGCATGTACATCTCAACCCACAGTGTCTTCCTTACCAATATACTAAGTCGAAGTGTGCATACGAAAGGACACGAGATAACAAAGCGGAATGCGGGAGAAGAGAGCAGAACACAAAATAACATAGCAGAGCACGAGAGATCACGTAAGAATAAAGTAGAACAGGAAAGAAACGAACAGAACACAAGATACCTTCAGAACACGGGAAAACAGAATAGGCTACTAAAAAAAAGCAGCAGAACACGAGAGAACAGACACTAACAGAGGGCTTGGAGCAGTGGGTGTGCTACAGAGTAACAGGAGGGCTGGGAGCAGTGGGTGTGCTACAGAGTAACAGGAGGGCTGGGAGCAGTGGGTGTGCTACAGAGTAACAGGAGGGCTGGGAGCAGTGGGTGTGCTAGGAATAACAGGAGGGCTGGGAAGTAATGGGTGTGCTAGAGAATAACAGGAGGGCTGGGAGCAGTGGGTGTGCTACAGAGTAACAGGAGGGCTGGGAGCAGTGGGTGTGCTACAGAGTAACAGGAGGGCTGGGAGCAGTGGGTGTGCTAGAGAATAACAGGAGGGCTGGGAGTAATGGGTGTGCTAGAGAATAACAGGAGGGCTGGGAGCAGTGGGTGTGCTACAGAGTAACAGGAGGGCTGGGAGCAGTGGGTGTGCTAGAGAATAACGGGGCCGTGGTGGACGGCTTGATGAGACGAGGCAACACACCACTGTCAACTTTCAACAACTTTCTTCTCCCCTGGCATCCCTGGAGTCTGTGAGTTGACCGTCAAACAAGCCAGCGCCACTACACTACATCCTCTACTGTCTCTACTCACACGGAAAAGGTCGTGTACACTTGAAAGAGTGCACGATGCACTCAATGTAAATTTCATTCACTGCAGTAGAGAATCCGATTAGAATCACTTTATACTCTCACTGAGTACAGCTGTATCCTCATTACAGGCTATAACACTCGTCATGACTGTTGAACATGAATCTTGGTACCACTACTTGCACCAGAGGGAAGGGTCATTGTATACTCTCCACAGCAGTGAACACACCATTATTATTATTATTATTATTATTATTATTATTATTATTATTATTATTATTATTATTATTATGTTCACGAGTAAAGGGTTAAACAGCTTATTGAAACTCAATGTCATCAACTGACCACAACTGCGTTAGATACACGTAAATTATACATTAAAAATAGTTATTAATTAATGTTTTAATTTAAAGAATATCGAGTACTCGATGGTCATTAAGGTTCATTATTCCCTGTACACCATCAGTTAAGGAGACTAATCTCTAAAATAGGGATTAAAGTATACTCTCAGTGAATAACCTTCAGTAGCCGTTGACGGAAGCAGCTCATTAAGTGTCTGAGTGTGAGTGTGACGGGTGAAGTGATAGGGGTGTAGGGAGTGGTGGTGGAAGTTGAGTTGGGGAAGGGGTGGAGTGGGCGATGGAGGGAGAAGCTTGAGGGAACAAGGTCAAGGGAGGTCATTAAGCTGCCCTCTCTACAGTTGGTGCGAAGGATCGTTAGTGGATAGACGAGTGAACCTTACAATCTAGAGTTGGACTCTGCGTTACCATCACCGCCACTGAGGCTGACGATCGTCAGGAAGACAGGTTACTAGATCACCTGCCCCCCCCCCTTCCTCATTAGTGGGACAGGTAAGTCGGTGGGATTGGTACCTGCGTGAGGCGACCACCTCCGTGAGAAGGACACCTTAGTGTGGCTGGCATATTAGTGGGACGTGTTGATAGAAATGGGGGAGATAGAAATGGAAGAGATAGAAATAGGGAAGATAGAAATGGGGAAAAAATGGGGAGAGGAAGAAACGGGTAGGTATTGAAGTAGGGAGAGGTAGAAACGAATAGGGATAGAAATGGGGAGAGAGAGAGAGAGAGAGAGAGAGAGAGAGAGAGAGAGAGAGAGAGAGAGAGAGAGAGAGAGAGAGGAGGAGCGAGCAGGTACCGCCTTGAGCTAGCACCCTAGACCACTACCTGTGTTGCGTGGTGTTGCTAGACGCAGTTGCTCTTCACTGAAAGTTGCTGACATTTGACTATTTTTAGGATGGTGTAAGAAGCAGAGTGAAGTGTAGCGCAGGTCTGGTTGCAGAAGGTTGTGTAGCGCAGGTCTGGTTGTAGAAGGTTGTGTAGCGCAGGTCTGGTTGTAGAAAGTTGTGTAACCAGTTAAAATTTTTGTGGGACATAACAACTAGGGGATTCAGATGACTCTTTGTGCTAGCATTGAAGTCTCTTTTGTGAGAAAGAAGAAAGAGGGTTCAGTGATTGATTTTATAGATATATATTACGTATTTGAATTTATAATGAAGTCGTTCTTAACATCTGGGTCTGCAAATGCACCTTCTATTAATGTACATCAGGTTTATCATTTGTTTGAACCTCTGACTGGAGTCTGCTTTCACTGTCTAACTTCCACCCAGACCCGCATGTCTACCCCTGATTGCGGAGGTTGTCACCCAGGCCCTGGGTTCTGCCTTTTAACCATGATTTGACAAGGGTAGTTCTGTAACTACTTGGGTTATTGTATTTTATAAACCATGTATGAAATCTGCCTTTATTACCCGTCTTTCCTAGCAAGGTTTCTACCTTCAATATTCTTCACATGGTGAAAGAAATATAAGTGTTGTGCATAAGGAGTAATGGGGACCGAGAAGGTGCCTTTGCAACTGCATGTCTAGGTGCCACAGAGAGTACGATGGATCTCTGTTTAAGTCTGTATAGTCTTGAATTTGCAATTGCGTGGAAGCCAATTCGGTCCCCGGTACTCTTACACAATTTATTTGTACAATGTGATGAGATTCTCATTTATGCAGCCTCCCCGTAACTCGTTTGTGTCGTTGTAATCCCTCCTGTGTCGAACTATCCACCATACCTTGATGCGCACATGTGTGTGGGAGCACGCATGTGCCTGGGCAATAACAAATTATGTAGAAATAAACTAGCCACTAAGGATATGTTGGAACCTTGCACAAATAAAATATTACATTCAACACGTTTTTTCCCCGTGCGAGCAACCACCATATTGTTTTCCATAGGTTGGATAGTTTGTGGGTAGTCACATTAATCCCTGATTTTCTGAACGTTTTAAGGGCTTAACGTGAGATCACGTATTCTCGCTACACGACACATCCAACCACACTTGAGTTTTGGCTACATAAGACTTGGTGTTACTTGTGGTTAACAAGGTAGAGGTTCACATTACTGGTGGTGACGATACTGGAAGAAATCTTCCAACTGCTATGCAAGATTATCAGAAGCCAGAGGACATAACCAGATGTTGAAATGATCACCAACTTACGACGGCAGTATTAGCACAATCATCGTTCAGGCTTCAAAGAGCTGGCATACTTTCCCCTGCACACTTGCCACCGTTCTCACACCTTCTTAAGTAAATTTTTATGAATTACAAACAAAAATGGTCATGGATGTTGGAGATGTGAACCATTGGAGAGTATGATAGTGTCCCCATGGACCAGGATCCACCTGGGCCAGACTCACCAGTGTTCAGGAGCGAGTAGGCCGCCGTGTGATCACTGACACACCAAGGAACTGACTGCCGAGCCAAACCAAGCCACCAGTCGACAACCTTCAGTGATCCAAGGAGTCTTCCAGAGCGGAGGAGGGGGAGTTTCCAGTCCCTCCCTCCCTCTCTCTCTCTCTCTCTCTCTCTCTCTCTCTCTCTCTCTCTCTCTCTCTCTCTCTCTCTCTCTCTCTCTCTCTCTCTCTCTCTCTCTCTCTTTTACTCTCCTCTCTGAGCGATTTCCGTCATTTGTGATAATTCCTATTTTTTCTTGAACGTCAAATAGGAGATGCTTTAATGCTGGTAAATATCCATTGAACCAAGGAATTACAGCCACCCTCCCCTTCTTCGGATCAGTCATGACTACCTCCCATTCTCAAGGCCCTAGAAATATACTACTGCTACTACTACTAATAATAATAAAGACTGCGCGATTACGTACAGTTCTTAAGCTCTTTATCTATACAATAAATGTTCTTTTCCGCTTCCTTTTCTATATTCCATTATTCTCTCATCCTTACCATATTTGTATCCTCGTGTTGCGCCTTCCCTGCTTGTCTCACACCTTCCCTGCTTCTCACCACTGAGGTGTGACCTTAGAAGACATCCTGAAGGAAGCATGCAGGGATAGGTGTGAGATCGTCCGTTAATGCTGGGTGACATGCAGTGAAACTGAGATGGGACAGCTGTCACTGCTGGAATTACTGCAGTTGCGTCTCGCGGGGTTGAGGATTCTCCTTCAGGAGCGTCGTCCATTCTGAAGGAGTTTTGCAAAGATCATATAAGGAGGATATGATGTTTCTTCTGCATGTTGTAGATAGCATATATCCTTACATAACCCAGGACTGCTCATTCATTAAGGAGACGTGGAAACTCTATACCTTGTATGTCTGCCTCACTGTCTCTCTTAATTAGTGACAACACTTAGGATTATGAGTGGAAAATGTTGGATAGTGAACATACTTGAATTGCTGGCAGAGACTAGGGAAGGAAGGCATCGTGGACCAGAGTTTGAAGAGTATAGCACATGTCAAACTCTGGACACTGATTACATTAACGGCGGGGTGAGGCTTGAGGGATGGGGTTGTATTTGCCCAACGATAAACAACATTTATTATTATTTTCAAGGAAAACGGTAAACCCATAAGGGTCACACACAGGCTGTGGAATGGAAGATAATGAGGATGGATCGAAAGAAGGTAGACTAATTTCCTAGAATTTGAAACCTTCCACCAGCATCGTAACATTACGGAATAAAATATCGGAATACCGTGGAAATAAATGGTATAAAATACCGACACAATGGAAATATAAACACAAATGCAGTATAATGTGATCCTTTATTGACAACGTTTCACCCACACAGTGGGCTTTTTCAAGTCACACACGGATCTACCTGGGGTTGGAAGGTACGAGAGTATTTATAGTCATGTTGAGGTCAGGTGGAGAATGCTGCAGCTGATGATCTACCGGGTGGGGTGATAGAGTCTTGGGTAGCTTGGCAGGGGTATTGGACAAGTTGTGAGTAGACCTTCTGCAGTGTTCTATGTTCTTATGTGGGATAGCGATGAAGAAGTTTCTTGGCGAGTGGTTCAGCTATGTTATAGAAGCCATTGTTCTGGTTGAAATTGTTGGTTATAGAGATAAACGATGATTCCAGGATTCTTCTGTATTGAGTGTTGTCTTCTGTGGCTATAAGTCTTGAGTTTCTGTAGTTAATTAAATGGTTGTGTGAATTGCGATGTTGTACACAGGCATTCCTTGTATCGTCAGTCCTGCTTGCATATTGGTGTTCTGAAATACGTGTTTGGAGGTCTCTTGAAGCCGAACGTTTCTCCACCATTATTCCTTCGTCTGTCACCTGGCTCCGTTATGTTGACGACATTCTCCTCATAACTCCTAAACGCTTCAACGTTCAAGCTCTCCAAGACAAGCTCAACCAGGTCGAGCCTTCAATCCAGTTCACACTTGAAGAAGAAGTCGACAACACTCTTCCTTTCCTTGATGTTCTACTCTGCAAAGCTGACCACGAACTTCGTTTTAAAGTCTATCGAAAACCCACCAACCAAAACGATCTTCTCCACTTCTACTCTCACCACGACACCAAAACCAAACGTGGTGTAATTATAGGCTTCTTCCTGCGTGCACTCAGAATCTGCAGCAACGAGTTCCTTGAGGAAGAATGCACTATAATTGAACAAGTATTTTCCAAACTCCACTATCCTCGTCACTTCATCAGAGACTGCAGACGGCGAGCATTAAACATCTTCAACACACCCAGAGAAGACACTGCCGAGAAGAGATACATAGTCCTTCCCACCAACTCCATTGCCAAACATGTTTCCAACATCTTTGCCAAAACATCATTCCAAGTATCTACCTCCACAACCACGACCATCAAGGACATCACCAGTAGTAGACAGGACAAGCCTCCATCCTCTGCAGGGGTATACATAATCCCTTATATGTGGGCGAAACATCAAGAGACCTCCAAACACGTATTTCAGAACACCAATATGCAAGCAGGACTGACGATACAAGGAATGCCTGTGTACAACATCGCAATTCACACAACCATTTAATTAACTACAGAAACTCAAGACTTATAGCCACAGAAGACAACACTCAATACAGAAGAATCCTGGAATCATCGTTTATCTCTATAACCAACAATTTCAACCAGAACAATGGCTTCTATAACATAGCTGAACCACTCGCCAAGAAACTTCTTCATCGCTATCCCACATAAGAACATAGAACACTGCAGAAGGTCTACTCACAACTTGTCCAATACCCCTGCCAAGCTACCCAAGACTCTATCACCCCACCCGCTAGATCATCAGCTGCAGCATTCTCCACCTGACCTCAACATGACTATAAATACTCTCGTACCTTCCAACCCCAGGTAGATCCGTGTGTGACTTGAAAAAGCCCACTGTGTGGGTGAAACGTTGTCAATAAAGGATCACATTATACTGCATTTGTGTTTATATTTCCATCGGAATACCGTAGCTGGTACAGTTTACCAAAAACAAACACATAGAAAGGGAAACGTTTAATGACGTTTCAGTCCATCCTAGACCATTCTCAAATCACAGATGAGAGAGAAGAGGCAGGGAAGCTCTGAAGACAGAATTAGGAGAGGGATGAGGAGCAGGAGCAGCAGCACCAGCATCAGAACGATAGTAGTGGTGGTGATGGTAGTGGTAGTAATAGTAGTGGTGGTAGTGGTGGGGGGTTCTGGGGTATCGTGACATTAACTTCGAAGGGAGAACACAGCTGATGGTTACGCATGATTGGTGAGTACTGGCTGTAATGGATGTGGGTCTGCATGCCACTAGCAGCAACAGTCTAGTTGATCAGTTAAGCACTAGACGAGCCTGGCCCAAGGCCGGGCTCTGGGAGTAGAAAAACTGACCTCATCATGTATATATCGAAGGTAAGGCTTCCTATCACTTATGGCTAATATACCGAGGTGAACTATGGTTCATGGTGTGTGGATAATTGACTTAAAAAGGTTTTACTCGTTCTGATATAAATCTTGGTATTATATAACAAGAAATTAATAAGGATGGCAGCCAGTTGGTAATGTTCACAAAGTTAAGGAGTAAGACACATTTTGAACAATGTTAACAAGTATTTGTTATGAGCGCTTGATAATCATGTGCTTCTAGTGCTTTGCTAATCAATCAGAATTTATTAAGATCATAAGATAGATATAATTTCAGTTCATAAACCAATATTAAAAAATATATAAAAAACAATATCAACAGAGAAATGTCTGAGACGTTTCAGAGGTCACTACAGATGTTAGAGGGTTGATAAATTTCGCATAGACTCTAAAGGGTGTCTGGTTCTCAAGGGTTCTTAAATAGAGGATCTGAAGCTCTTTTTATTCCTTGAATTAAACTTGATTACCTCCCAGTTGTATGACCCTGTTTGTATATAATGCATTTTGAATCCTTAATTCCACAGTCAAGGACATGATATTAAAATAGGTTTAATGTGCAGTAGGAAGCAGGAAGATCACTAGCCTGACCACATCAACGTGTCCCTCACTGATGATATTCTCTCGAGTCACTAGTTTCTTTCTGATGACCAAAAAATAGTGGGGTGGCCCTCGTCCAACCTTCAACTCCCTCCTCACTGAGGCATCACCCTCCCTCAGTCACCCTTCCTTAGACACCTTGTCTCCCAAAGACTCCCTCTTCTCCCTCTGCTTAAAGACACCCTCCACGTAGGCATCTTATACTAGGGGTGTCTGCTCTCACTTTCTACAGCCGCCTCCAGGCACACCTAGTCATTATTATGCTGTGTCCACCTGGGAGTCCCTCCCGTCTTGGTGGTTTCTCCCGTCTTGGTAGTCACTCCCGTCTTGGTAGTCACTCCCGTCTTGGTAGTCACTCCCGTCTTGGTAGTCCCTCCCGTCTTGGTATTCCATCTGTCAGTAGTGTTACTGATTCCCTATGTGATATACTTGTGTAGTTCTCCCCAGCTGTTATACATAATTGCATTTAATAATAATAAAAATTCTACCTCCCCCCACAACCTCACATCAAGGACACACTGAAAAATCCTACTCAGTATCCCTTCACACCTTTTTTCTCACTAATATTCTCATTGTCGCTTCTCCAACGTTCCTCTCTATCTTTCTTCCCTCCCATCCCTCTCCCTTCCCATTCCTCTCTCTATCCTCTGCTTTCCCCCACTCTACCTCGCTGATGCTCAACCTCCACTACACCCCCCTCATCTCCCCTCTCATTCCCCACCATACCTTCCTCCCCCCGGACCATTACCTTCTCCCCCCTCGACCAGACCCTCCCCTTATTCCCTCCCCATACTTTCCTCAGTTTTGATCTTCACTTTCATCAACTTTCACTGCTACAGCCGCCATACTTTTCAGAAACGTTCGCTCGAGTTCAATTACTTTCACTCTTCAAAATATGAGAAATAACCTTGACAACGAATAAATTTCAATACCACTTACGTGGCCCAAGGTGTTTTAATGAATATTTTATAGACAATAGAAGGTGTTAGAAACTCTGTTTCACTGATTGCATCAAGAATACTTGATTCTCCTAAAA